AAAATAGTATGTCACTCGCGTATAAAATGTAGGACATTTGACGGATGAATAAGGCGATAGCATGAATGAAAATGCGGCAGAAAAAATCAGCAAAAGCCTTTAATGTTTCAAACGCTTCGGTTGGATGGCGCTGTCAGAAGCTCTCTGAAGCACATTAGAAGTGGTGAATGTGATTATGACAGATAATATTTGTGTTTACGTTTAGAAACGTTGACTGTCAAAGTAGAGAATGTTCTGTTAATATAAACCAAAATACCAACATGGCGGGTTAAAATGCTGTCGTGGGGGTTATCTTTCTCATTAAACTACACATGAAAATATCTTAAAAACGGCTGGGAAAATCGGCAAAATGGACCGTGGTGTCACTCCCTAAAGGGAGTGTAGGCTGGTTTGATGGCCCAAAGTTCAAATCCGGTGGATTTAAGCTCATTCATGGGTTCTCGGGATTTGGCCTGTGGTGAAATTCCATACAAAACATGAGTGTGACTTGTAAAGATGCTCACAGGAAAGGAAAAGCTGGGAATCAGAACAAATCCTGAGAGCCCATGGATCAGCCCGAATCCACTGGATTTGAACTTTGGGCCATCAAACCAGCCGGGTGTCTACACTCCCCTAGGGAGTGACACCACGGTCGATTTTGCCAATTTTCCCAGCCGTTTTCGAGATATTTCGATGTGTAAATATTTATTGGTTTTAATTTACCACTTAAGAGGTGAGTTTGGATAAATTACCAGAAAAGCGTATAAAAGTTCGAAATATTCCATCATTCTAAAATATTTTCACTAGAGGCGCTCTTACAAAAATCCATCCATTCAGCCTCCATAAGAAGCAATGTATTGCTATCGAATTACGGACGGATGCCATCCATATGCATTGTATTCGAATTGAAATTTTTGTAATACTACTCGCAGGAAATGGCAGCTGTCGAATGACATATATTTTTGTGTGTGGGAAACGTTTTTGGCGGTTGACGATTTTTCTCTATCATTTTAATGTCATTGTCAATGTATTTTCTTCCTTATTTTGTTGACGGTGACAACATCGATCGGAATTTCTCCATGCATAAATGATTTGTGACTAAAGTATAGCAAACAGTTATCCGAGAAAACGTTTTGGTACCAGATTTTAGGGAATGCATCATACACCGTTGATACGTTCTTCTTCATCAGGCAAGTTGTCTTTGCCATATGGCAAAAACTTTTCATCACACTCTCACTTTGTTTTTTACTTTGCACACATACACACATTGTTATCTTGGTTACTGTGTTTATTTACTTTGACAGTGGTTTTCTGGTGACACTCCTGTTCTTGCGTACCAAAAGCTCAACGAAAAGTTCGAATGCGGGCGGCTTCATTTCGGGAACGAAGCAAAGTTTATTTTTAGTCATTTATCGATATATTCGGTTAACGCCGGTTTATTTTATGGTGATTATCATCAATGCGGTTACACTAAAGTAAGTTTTATGTATTTTGGTTTTTGGGCAGACGTAATCAATATATCACATATTGGATGTGATGGCCGGTGCCAAAAGTGTTTGTATCTAATTTTTGTGTAAAACATTGATGATGTTTTCGACAGGTATGTGTATAATAAATCAGTGTTCACACCCGGATTGCCCGATCATATTACGTGTCCGAATTATTGGTGGCGAAACATTTTGTACATTCAAATCTGGTTCCCGTTCTCGCAACTGTGCATGTTGTGGTCATGGTATTTAGCCGATGATATGCAATTCTACATTTGGGCCATCATCATACTCATTCTATCGAAGCGGTGAGAATACCCTCAATAACTAATTCATTTGTTTACATGCCCGTCTCATGAAGATGCGCAAAACCATACATCTTATATTATTATTTTAGTACATGCATATACAAAATTAATACCAAATGCTTTAAAAAAATGTTTAATTTACATACAAATGCTCCAAATACGTATGTGTACTTTTTCTGCGTCATTCCACATTGACAAATATGCAGCCATGGACGAACAGCTGTTGCCATAATCGTAACATTTCTGCTCACCTCATGGGTTGTGTCGGCGCTGGTCTCATTAAATTTCAATTACGAGCATAGAACGTCGGAACCTTTGGAAAGCTTTGGGTACTTGTACGAGAAGCCATGGACGCGATTGGGACCATATGTGATGGGTTAGTTTGATTTCTGAAATTGTGCTTTTATTACCTCTCTCAATTCCTCCTCCCTCTCTCATCCTTTCTCTCCCATTTTCCATTCACACCGTTTTGTTTGCTATGCAAACACAGCGAAAAACCTTGTCAACTATCAATGCTTGATCGCATGGTGTGTGTGTGTGGGTTGCTTGATGATAAAGTGACTTTTCTTCGTATGAAATGCGTTCGCATTTTATTAATGATACACCCGGAGAAACACAGATACATCACCACTGCAAGCGTGCGCTTGCTCGCACGCACACACACATTAAACTGATCTTAAACGTGCGAGATGCTGCATGAAAATTAATGTGTGTCCCAGCGGCGTAACTAGGAATTTCTTTCGGGGGGGGGGGGGGGTTTCGTTTTTGCACAAGTATTAGAAATAAATGCAGGGACGATTTCCTGTGGATATTCAAAGTAGTGATTTTTTAGATCTATTAACAATCAACTTAGAGCATAGAGAACATATTCTTTATTTTGGATTTCCAGCCGAAGTATTCAAAAGAGTTTATCATCCCATGTGGAAATATATTGACAGACTGCTTAAATCGGATGAAACTTGAAAACGATTCAATTCACAGATAGTTAACCCTCTAATGCATACAACCGCCTCTAGACGGGCAACATTTGAACGCCTGTAGAACGTGAACCGTACATCGGATCACATTGCTTAATAGTCATTTTTATTCGTCAAGGTATCCTCTATAATCTTGTCTTTTGCACTATTAGTCTACATCAAATGGTTGTTGAGTTATAAACTAGAATGTCTATAAAAACAAAAATTTGACAAAATAAATTATTTCATTTTTTTCACTTTTAAACAATGGATTTGATTGTTCTCTGATTTATGTCAATCGCATTTCCTGACTAAACCATGAGGAATCTAGGATTATGAATATTTTTTTAAATATCTATGGCCAAAAATCAACCAAGTACCAGTACTCCCAGCCCTGGGAAAAATTAATGCATTAGAGGGTTAAATTCACTTTTGGAATCTTGTATGAAAAATAGTCGGCTTTAGTCGTTTTATTTCGAACATATTGACTGAAGAATAACTATCAGGCGACTACAGCCGTCTATTTCGTTTGAGATAATCATTTTTAATTAGCTAAAAAGTCCAAAATTAAGCAATCGACTGCTCAGGCTATACAACTTTATATAATATTGTTCGTATGGCGAGCGAAGCGAGCCGAAATTTTTGATATTGAATATCCTGAAACTCAATTTTCCCTTTATTTATTGTAAAAAAAAATTTGGGATGATTTGATTTCGGGGGGGGGGGGGTTTGAACCCCAAAACCCCCCCCTAATTACGCCACTGGTGTGTCCTCATGTGCATCGTCATGGAATTGCTTTAGTGTTTTGTTTGTTTAATTTTGCCGATGAATCGACTCAATCTGGCTCTCTTTCTATCTCATGCTCACCCGTTTGACACAGGTATGATGGCTGGGTATGTACTTAATCGCTACAAATCTGCACCGCCGGCCATAACTCCATTCATCAATGTTGTGCTGTGGATGATGTCACTGGGCGTGATGTTATTGCTTGTGTTTGGCGTTTGGAACGGTACACTAAATCTTCTATGGACCGCTCTTTATGTTAGCTTAGGCCATTCAGGTGAGATAGACCGAACATTATTTTTTTCAAACCGCAAAAACAAGTTGATTTATTCGGGCGAACAGGAGGAAAATAATGATACAGCTGTATGTTCACTCGGGTTTGAAGGAGTTTAATTTGATTTCCATAACAGATTATATGAATAAATTCAAGCATTAATTCAAATAGAACATATTTTCCGTTCATATTTTGCGTCATCAGAATTGCTAATTCAGGGGAAATTTAAGATTCAATGTTTTTTTGTTTTGTTTGAATTTCCATTTCCTTTTCGTACACCATTCGAAATAATATATAATCCGATTTAATTAATTCGATTTTTCAATATTCTCTTTTTCTGCATTCGATTGATCCATATTCAAAACCGGAATGAAAAATGTGTGTTGCAACTGTGTCAGCTTGGGGATTAGCGCTTGTTTGGATCGTATTATCGTGTAAATGGGGACTAGCCAAGCCAATTGATAGATTATTATCATTTCGAGGAATGTTGCCATTAAGTCGGCTCACCTATTGCGCTTACCTGATTCATCCGATCACTCAAATTGTGATGTCATTAGACCTGAAAGGAACAATTCATATCCAGCACAGTCTTGTGTTTACCGTATTCTTGGGCAACGTGGTCACGGCTTATACCGTCGCATTAATCTTGTCATTAGTGTTTGAAGCGCCAATCGTACGGCTTCTGAAAATACTCTTCTCGAAATGAACCGTTTTAGCTTTACTCTATATAGATTTTGTAGTTTATAATTTTTAAGTTCAATCACATTTTGTTTTTGTTCGACTCGAAATTGCAAATCCGTGTCATAGTTATTAAGGAGAAAAAAGAAAGGAAGAATGCATCTTTAAAAGAAAGACAAAAAAAATAATGACATCTGTATAGGTTTTAATTGCATTTCATTTTGTAATATGACGCAAATGTACATAAGTCACCCGGCAACATTGTTGTTTGATGAAGAAATAAAAAATGTCCTTTTCTGATTAAAATCATAATTATAAGAGCTAGTTTTTTCTCTATGTGAGTGTGTGTTTGTTATCGGATTTGTGAGAGCAAGCATCTGTTCACAGCAACTTACTCATAAACTCTTACAGCCAAAATTAGTGCTTAAACCAGCGCCGTAGCCAGGCCGGCGCAATGGGTGCATTGCACCCTCCAAAAATTTCAAAGGTGCAACAAAATCGGGTGCAAAATCGGGTTCCAAAGGTGCAACAAAAGAAAAATTTCGATTTTGCACCCTCCAATTTTTTTTCTGGCTACGGCGTTGATCTTCTTCCTTCTTTTCGTTTTATGATTCTATAACTTAGTTAGAGGAAATCGAACACAATTCTTTATAAATTTATACATGTATATCAATTGAACAGAAATTTCCAAGGAAATCGTCATGATTTTCAGACAAAACAGCCATCTAAGTCGAAAATCTTTAACAAGAAAAATGGCTATGAATTCGTTGTCAACCCAATTTTTGGGACTTTTTATTGAAAATGAACTATTTT